TAACTTTGGTTACTTTTTCCTTATTAGCCATTCACTCCTCATCCCACTGCTGAGTTCAGAAATCCTTCTTGCCAAGGTCGCTGGGACCTGTGAGTCGTACAGTTCTCCGTCCTTGCCTTCTCTGACCTCCGTGTAGCTTGGCTGCTTCTCTTCTCCTTTGTCTTCTACAGTTTTCTCTCCTGGCTTCGTTCTTCCTCCCTAGCTCCTTCCTCACCATCTTTTCAATGCTGCTATTTTGGGAAGTGTTGGCTGTGGACCTCGCCTGCCTTACTTACTTTGCATATTATCCCTGAGTGATCTCATCCTCTCAAATGTTTATCATTTTAAAAATTTCCAATGTCATTCTCTCCCCTGAGCTCCAGACTTGCATATCCAAGTGCTTAAATACGTAACACCTTAAACTGAACCAGATCTAAACCCACCATCTCTCCTTCCAAATTTCTGCCTTCGCTTGAATCATCTCTCACTCTCAGGAAAGGTAAGCGTCATCTTCAGAGTTGCTCAGGCCAGAAACCCAGACAGAGAGGGTCTGAACGCCCTTTCCTCTACCGAGTTCTGTCCATTTTCTACTGTGCTGTTTCCAGCAGTTTGGTGAGAGCTCTAGAGAAGGTATCAATTAATACTTTGTTTTTACAGATGGGAACACTTGGAGACGTTGACTTTTTTTTTTTTCCATAAAGAAATGGAAGAATTATCAATGCTGGGAAGGAATTTGAATCTTTTGATTTCTTACAGGTTATTTACATTAGCAGGAAGAACAAACAAAAAACAAGTGAACCAAAAGAGAAAAGTTAATGTCCTCCTGTAACAAGACTCCAAAGGAATCCATTTTCTTAATATTTTACTTTTTAAGACATCAGTTTCCTTTTTCACTGTTTTATATGTTTTGTCATTACAAGGGAGGTTTTGGGCCCTACTGTCCTCACTCAAATGCTATAGCTGATGGGTTCCTTTCTAAAATGGACATATTGAGGGGCGCCTGGGTGGCTCAGTTGGTTAAGCGGCCGACTTCGGCTCAGGTCATGATCTCACGGTCCGTGAGTTCGAGCCCCGCGTCGGGCTCTGTGCTGACAGCTCAGAGCCTGGAGCCTGTTTCAGATTCTGTGTCTCCCTCTCTCTGACCCTCCCCCGTTCATGCTCTGTCTCTCTCTGTCTCAAAAATAAATAAACGTTAAAAAAAAAATTTAAAATAGACATATTGAGATATAATTCCTATACTACACAGTGGTTTTTAGCATATTCACAGGGTTGTGCAACCAGCATTACTGTCTAGTTCCAGAACATTTTTGTCCCCTGCCAGACAACAACCAAAAAATCCTCATAGGGGCACCTGGATGGCTCAGTCAGTTAAGTGTCCGACTCCAGCTCAGGTCATGATCTCAGGGTTCATGGGTTCGAGCCCTGCATCGGCTCTGTGCTGACAGCTCAGAGCCCGGACGGAGCCTGCTTCGGATTCTGTATCTCCCTCTTTCTGACCCTCGCCCACTCGTGCTTTGTCTCTCTCTCTCTCTCTCTCTTTCTCTCTCTCTCTTAAAAATAAATAAATGTTAAAAAAAAAATGTAATAAAAAAACCCCATATGCTTTAGTAGTCAGTTCCCACCCGCTGAAGTAACCATGAATATATTTTCTTTTTCTGTCATTTGCCTGTTCTGGATATTTTTTATAAATATTCGTATCTTCCGTGACTTACCTACGTATGTTTTCAAGATTCTTCCATATTGTAGCATGCACCCACACTTCTTTCCCGTCGATAGCCAAATAAGAATCCATTGTATGAATATACCACATTTTGTTTGTCTGTTCAGGAGTGGATGGATATTTGGATGATTTCCATTTTTACAATTTTACTAGTATAATATTTTACTACTAGGAATCATGCTGCCATGAACATTTGTGTACAAGTTTTTGTGCACGTGTATTTTTTAATTTCTCTCGGGGCTATCCCTAGAAATGGAATTCCTGGGTTCGTAGGGTAATTGTATGTTTAATGTTTTGAGGAAGTGACAGACAGGTTTCCAGAGCAGCTGAACTGTTTTACACTCCTACCTGCGCTGTATGGAAAGTTTCAGTTTCTCTCTGCATCTTCACCAACACTTTTTATTGTTTGTCGTTTTGAAAATAGCCATCCTGATGGGCTGAAATGGGATCTTATGGTTTTGACTTGCATTTCTCTGATAGCCAATGATGTTGAATGTCTTTTGTTTGCCTATTGGTCATTCGTAGATTTTCTTTGGAGAAATATATTCAAACTCTTTGTCTATGTTAAAATTGGTTATCTATCTTTTTATTATGAGTTGTATGAAGTCTTTAGGTATTCTAGATACAAGTCTTTGGTCAGATAAATGGTTTTCAGATATTTTCGCTCATTCTGTGGGTTGTCTTTTCACTTTACTGATGGTATCATTTGCAGCACAAACGTCTTTAGTTTTGCTGTAAGAACCGCGGGTTTTATTAATATTGCCATAGTCATGCTGTGGTAAGGCAGATGAGAGCATCCCTCTCCTTGACATGGGTCACTGTTTCAAATGTAGGTAGAGCTGGTAGAATGTTTCCACTTCCAGCCCTTCTCTTCTCCCTTCCTTCTTCCCTGTGTGGCCTGTGTTAAGGCTATGATGGTCATACTACAGCAGGTCTGTCTTGGCCTTGATTGTCCAGGAATGAGAGAAGCTGGCAATGAGTCTGCATTTTATCAAAGGACTGCTGTTTCCACGATGTTCACAGATACCATGGATCTCATCTTACACTTCAGTTCCCTGCTGGGTCTCTTTTCTAAATAGAGCACTATCCCAGGTTGCCGAACTGCTCGTGTCCTTGAGCGGCAGTCAAGATGTGCAGTCATGGAGCTTGGTGGCCCTGGAGATGATCAGACAGCAGCGCCCCTCCATGCAGAGGAGCCACTGCGTTTCCATTTTCTGCTTCGTTGCTGGTATGCAGGCTTTTACCTGGAGCTTTGTGCCGTTGGGAAATTGGACACCAGTGTGCTTCAGGCTTCTGGATGTCCTGGATCAATATGACTTCAAAACTGTTAGGGTATAATGCAAGGTTATTCAGTTTTAATTTTGTCAAGGACATTTTGGCAATGTAATTGCCATCATGACAGAAAGCAACTGGAGATTTTTCCTATCAGGAGAGTGCTCAAAATACCAAATTAATTTACTTTTGTGAAAAGTTAATATATGTTCCTGTTTTTCTTATTTTGCTGTCACTGAAAAGTACACTGTGGTCCGTGGATTGATATTTGGGAACCACAGACTTAGATACTTAGCTTAAATATTTGAAAAGTAGAATCTTCAGTTCATCAGGAATTTACTCCGTACGATGCCAGGTATCTGTTTTATGCAGATCATTTCCTACGATGAATTAGCTATTTCGGCTCTTACGTTAGGCACGTCTTCCTGCACTTTGTACCCCTCTGCTGATATTTGAAAATTTCTTCAGTAACACAGATGAGAAAGAACTGTTTTAGGTACATGTGAGCATAAATAGGACTTGACCTTTCAAAGATTAAAAAAAAAAAAAAAAATTCCAAAGGTAGAGTGGCTCCTATTTATAAATACAATGTTTAATTTCTGGATTATTTGTGTTCTAAACTGGGAGTACTACATAAATTTTTATTGATTCTGTCTCATCTGAATTAAAACGTCAAACAGATATTAGGGTTTTATCATAAGATAGTTATTGGCTGTCATACTGGCACATTAATTATCGTAATTGGGTGGTAAAGTAGCCGTAGGAATGGATAATATGCTATACATTGTGATGAAATTGTAGTTATCACCTCTTATTTATGGCACTAAAATCTTGTTAATGGACACTGCTGACAAGCTCTTTTGCTTTTCCTTTTCTACTTTTCAGGCTGGTTTCTAAGTCCACTTAGGAAATCTCAAACCGAGAGCCCACAATATACAGTAAAGGTCACATTTCCGAATTTTCTCGACTCTTTCATGGTATACCCATTAAATTCAGCAAATATCTGCTGATCACTGTTTTAAATGCCCTTGAGTATACGGAGATGCACAAAGCAGTTCCTACACTGAAAGACTAATAATGAAGAAGGGAGTTAGAATGTCTCTATATAAATACCTGTGACCCGCATTTATTGAGTCACATCTATGAGGCACATATAAGCACCTTACAAGTGGGACGAGATACAAGTTCAGAGGAGGAAAGGATGCTTCGAAGCCCGGGTGATCAGTGCAGCTGTAAGCCTCCGTGATAGAGGAATTACTTGGCATTCCTGACATAAAGCTTCGAACTATCTGTGAATACATATCTACATTCTAGAACTATAGTGAGAGGTACGTGGCTAAATGCACTGACATGGAAATCAACTTTTGTTCTAGGCTCAGCTGCCTCGCAACCTCATTTTGTGTCCTTGAGTATATAAAATTGATGTAATAATATGTGTCCAGCGTCTCTCACTATGAAAAATGAGATAATGCAGATGCCTAAGCTGCTCCCTGTGGTGAAAGTCAGATTGCTCGGCAGGTGTGTATCTTTTTTCAGGCGACTTCAGCCATACGTTTGAGTGGTAGGCACAGCTTTCCATGACTAAAAGGATTAGTATCCTTACAAAAGTGCCCAATTTATTGCTGGGGAAATAGCATATTCTGTGTAACATCTGAGCTGTTGTCTGAAAAATTGCCTGAATTTCTTAGAGAAACTGCCTGTATGAATACAGAGTAGCAGTGTGGTGATCACTGAAATGTGATAAAAAGGGAATGTGTTTATTGAGCTGCTCCAGCTGGTTTAGGGACGTTACAACTGGTTTTTAGATTCTTATGTCGCTTCCAGTTTGCAGCAGAGGAAACTGAGGCTTAGATTTCCAAAGCTGCTTAGATCCTACAACTGTTGGAAATCCGTCCGTGGAAATCTCATGTGCTCTATCCATGGTGGCTTGTTGCTTCCCCGCAGATTGATGGTTTTGGTGTGGGCCCTCGTGAGCCATCCTCGTGTGAGTGGGCATGTGTATGTCAACGTTATCTCCTTTTTCCACCAGGCTACTTCTAGAACTGCTGGAGTTGCTATTTGACAAGTTCAACGCTGTAGCCACTGCGCACTCTGTGGTTCTGGGGTACCTGCAGGACACCGTTGTGACCCCGCTGGCCCAGCAGGAAGATGTCAAATTGTACGATATGGCGGACGTGTGGGTGAAGATCCAAGATGTTCTGCAGGTAAAAGGTCCTTTTACACGTGGTGCCATCTCGATTCAGAATAACAGGTTGGAACGAAATATCTACCACCTAAGATATTCCCTTGCTCATAAACAGTGAGAGAATAATGTTACTATTGAAAGGGGATGCTGCTGATGTCATCAACTTCTATCATCTTCAGAAGACCTCTTAACTTTTTTTGCCAGGCTTGAAAATGAGGAGATTCTCAATATGTAGCCATCAAGGAGGTACAGTGTTTGGCCTTCTGTTGTAAAGTGCTTTACTGCACTGGAATTAGTCCTATATTAAGGTAATCAGTGTTAAAATGTTCTCAGACAGTATTTTATAAACATATGTAGCTTAGTTTTATGGCCGTTTTCGTACAGTCATCTCTTGCATATATTGAGGTAAATGACCGGTCAAGAGCTTGTTTTGAGAGATGAAAATTACTGTAAGGAATAAATGCATCACTTTGATTTGCTGAAGATTGGAGCAATGATATTACTGTTTGGTATGATGCTGCAGAGATGGTATTTAGAAATTTTATTACATGCTGTCTCCAAGTGCCAGGCACATATATTTGATTTGGCCACAGGAGAATTGGAAATACGATTAAGAGGTAGCCGAAGCAAATTTGACATAGCTAAATAGAAGTGACTTGGTTAGATAGTCCCTACTAATGTGAAAAAAAAGTGTACATAGGAAATTGAAAAATATAACTGTGTGGGAATGAAATTTCTTGCATGGCAAATAGGAATATTTGCCGGAAAAAATAAATCACGAATCTAAATTGTAGTCATTTTTAAGAGTATAGGTATGCTCCTGATGGATTGAATGATGGATTCTTGCTTACTCATTCATTAGACTTTTTTTTTTTGGTGCAGTCTGGGTGCTTTATTGGTGGCTCAGTGGAAAGATTATAGGTTGCAACTACATCCCCCGAGTCCCTTTTGCTCCTTTGTCAATTACCACGTGTCCATAGTAGGTGCTTGAGGAGCATTTGTGTATTGAATAAAATGTCTTTATTGCCTAGACACTGGTTTTACAGTGTTTTATATCTTGATTTGCTAATGTCATGGAAATAGGTGCTTTTCAGGTCACCTGTTTATTTTAAGGATGAAATAGGATCGTAGATTTTAAAGCCATTTCAGAAATAGTTAGAATGAGGGACTTCTGGTTCTAGCCATGATGAAATTGCCTCCTATTGCGAGCAGCTCTACAACTGGGTGGACTCAGTCCGCACATTCAGTTCAGAGCAGAGAACACGTGAGGTGGATCCCACGTTCATCCTGGCTTCCTCCTGGGGGACACCTGCCGTGCTATGGCCCAAGGAAGTGACAGCAGCGGAGCCTCTAAGCAAAGGGAACAGAGATGAGAGTTTGGAGGTGTAGAGGCAGCTGGAATTTGTCGCGTAGGGTAGTGGGGAAGAGAGGATCACACAGAGGAGGCACCCTGTCAGCCTGAAAAGAGTGCCTTTGAGCCTTTGGTCAAAAACCGACTGATGCAGACACCACAAAGCTTGGCAGGAAACTGTCACTGTGGGACCGTGAGATGAATGGAAATGCCGGACGTTGCCAGATGATTGGAAATTGGATGTTGGAGTTCAGTCAGTGTGGGGAGGACCTGCTGAACACCCCATGCTTTCAGATGTGGCCTCAGCAAGGTTGTGATTCAGGGATAGGGACTATTCCAGCTGTAGGGGAGGGGTTACTCTGGATCTTGCATAACCAAGTCTCTCCAGCATCAGCCCGATCCACCTGTACATCAGCTGCTGGCCAGAACAAAACTCACTCTGAAGTAAGGCAATATAATCCACATTTTCACTAGTGAAGCATCTACAGTGTCCAGCGTACAATTATATTTGTGGGAAAGCAGAAAAATGTGACTCTAACTGGGAAATAAGAAAATTAATAAAAATTAATATCTGAAATGGACAAATCACAAGATGGGTTTAGCCGCAGATGCCTGCTATAGAAAAAAAGACCAGGGAACTCAAAGATGAATAAATCAGAGTGATCCAAAAGGAAGCACAGGAAGAAAGCCAACTGCAAGGAGAAATGAACAAGGCCATATTGTCCATAATGGCACAATATCATGCAGCGTAGTAGTTGCAGGTACAGAGGAGAGGGAAGAGAGATACTGAGGCAGAAAATTATTGGAAGAAATCATGACCAAAAGTATTTAAATTTATTGAAAAGCATAAACCCACAGATTCAACAAGCCCAACAAATCCCAAGCATCTTTAACCTAGAGAAAACCAATGCCTAGACAGATCATCACCAGGTTGCTGAAAAGCAAAGAACAAAGGAGTCTTAAAGATAGCCAGAGGAGGGGCGCCTGGGTGGCGCAGTCGGTTAAGCGTCCGACTTCAGCCAGGTCACGATCTCGCGGTCCGTGAGTTCGAGCCCCACGTCAGGCTCTGGGCTGATGGCTCGGAGCCTGGAGCCTGTTTCCGATTCTGTGTCTCCCTCTCTCTGCCCCTCCCCCGTTCATGCTCTGTCTCTCTCTGTCCCAAAAATAAATAAAAAACGTTGAAAAAA